GAGACATCCTCTTCTTTTCTTTGTCTCTGCTGGTGACTCTTCTTGTGTCAATGCACTCCAGTGGTTGGTGGACCATCTGCGTGGTGGCTGTGGAGTCTAGCCGCTTTTGCAGCAGCCATGGTTATTGTGGTGGCTGTGGTGGGCCACCCACATAAAGTTGCTGTTTTTGGCATGCTCCTTGGCACTGGCGGTATGCCTGGTCGTGGGGTGTGTTTGGTCCTCTTCTCCATGCCTCGGGTACCCAGGTGGGCCCCGAGGTGCTGGCATTTTGCGCCTGGTGTGGGAGGAGGGTCCAGTCCCCAGTTCTATCCTCAGGTCACTGGGCGGGACCTGAGGCACTGGCTTGGTGTGCCTGGTTGTGGGAGAGAGGTCCGGTCCCCTTCTCCATACCTCAGGTCCCCGGGTGGGCCCCGAGATGCAGGCATGACGTGCCTGGTTGTGTGAGAGGGTCCAGTCCCCTTCTCCATGCCCCAGGTCTAGTTCATATATTTTAACTCCTTAAATTTTCACAATTATAGAAAGCAATTATAATTTTTATCTCAATTTACAGATGAGGAAACTGAGGCCTAGAGATACTATGTAACTTGACAGAGCTGGGATCTGGACTCTACGTAATTGGGAAGCCAGCACTTGTAACTGAATCATGAGACTATCCTGCCCCTGTGGAGCATTTTAATATTTTTGAAAAATCATGTTACACACACATACACACACATCTACCGTGTCTTGAGTTGGTACTCATACTCTCATTGCAAATAATCTTTCAATTTCTTGTGTCTTTTTGTCTTTTCAAACCTGCCTTTTACAAATGAGGCAGATGAAAATACAAACTTTTTTGTTTTTGTTTTGTTTGAGGACACCCAGAAAATTAGGAACCAAGTTGAAATGGTCTTTTATGACAGTCCCTGGTATCATAAATAAATGTATAGCAAGTTTACATTTCTTGTCTTAAATTGATGACCCTCCAGTTATTTCAGAATTATGCCCAAGAAGCTCCCAAGAACATTTATAATAATACATGTTTAAATGTTTCTAGAACAAATAGCTTCCTGCAGTTCTTTCAACAAGCTCCCTTGACACTTTTCATCTGCACACAAGTGGCTGTATTCTTTTGTACCTTGACATGCAGGCTTAGGTGAAATATTGTGGACATAAACATGCATTTAGTAGGTCTGCTAGGAAGGGGTCATGTAAAAGTTATCTTTGATTTGTTCATGGAACTTTTTTTTTTTAGAGATGTAGTATATGGCAGCAGTGATGTGCATCCTAAGGGAAAAATGATCCACTTTATAAAAGTTTATTTTCATATTGTATACACTGTAGTTCTATTGTGTTTTTGATTTAGTGACAATTTGTGTGTTTTTCCGTCGCAGAGCACGCCTGTGGTGTTGAAGCTCACAGCCAAGCCATCCAGCCCAGCCACATCGGAGAGGCTGTTCGACACTATGGCCACAAGATTGACCCCTTTCCCCGTTCACAGTAAGTAATAACAGAGTTATAAAAAGTTATATGTATAATCTGAAAGAATTTTGATTTTCAGCTGGTCAAATGAAGAAGCAATGGAATTGTTGAAAGCGATTTGTAGTAACTGTAATTTTGCTGTACCAATTTATTTATTAGTTCTCTTGGAAAATAGAAGTCATTTTTGTCTCTTTTTGGAAGGACATTTTTTTTTTACAAAATTTTTTTTCAATTACAAATGAAGCTTTTTTGTTGGGGCTTATAGGTTCTATTTTTCAAATCTTAGGTTTATAAAATTTTCTTGTCAAATTATATGTATCCAAATATTGCTAGAAGCACTTTGTATTTTAAAATTGGTTAGATTGGCATCACCACTTCTATCAGATGTCCTTCTCCTAAATGTGCTTTGAGTTGGAAGAAGAAATTATTTCTTTGCTGTCTTTGAACTAGCCAGAAATGCAGACAGATGATCTTTTCACATCTTCAAATGATTTGAAGGCATATAGAAGGGTTTTGCTTTTTCCTAATGGGGAATTAAAGAGTTGATATTTCAGTAGCCTAAAGAAAGTGCATGCCTGTGTTTATTTTAATTAAATCCTCATTTTGTGGCTGATCCTTTAAAAAAATTTTATTTAAGTTAATAGAAGTTTCTCCAAATCCTTCTCGATTATAAAGAATTGGTTTGCCATTCAGAAAGTAATATGTGATTTACATAACCAAGGATAGGTAAAAAAAATTTTTTTTTATATTCACTTTTGTTTTAATATACTAATGCAAAATATGTAAGTATAATGTTATACATAAATAAGTGAATGAGTAAATAATAAGTACAACATAGTATACATTTCTACTTAAGAATGGATTTTATTATTATTCATTCACAGAAATCACATGAGCTGACTACCAGCTTGTCATGATTTTTTCTTATCTCTTTTTTTCCCTGTGCTTAAGGGAATTCTTTATTTGCATAAGTGTTTCCAGAAGCTTTCTATAGTGGTGATGGGTATTTTCATTTTTTTCTTAATATTTATCTTGTATGCCATAAAAACAAGGTTTTTCTTTTAATTTTAACATTTATTTGTACATATTTCTGGGGTACACTGTGTTGTTTCAATACATGCACATACTGCACAATGATTCACTTAGAGCAGATAGCGTAGTTTTGTACCCATTAGTTCACCAGTTCTCTTCCATCCACTGCTCTCCCCTCCTGGCCTCTGGTAACCATTATTCTTCTCTCCACTTCTTTGAGAACCACTTTTTTTTTTTTAGATTCCACATATAAGTGAGATTATGTGGCATTCTGTGTCTGACTTCACTTAACATGATGGTTTCCCGTTCCATCTATGTTGCTGCAAATGATAGGATATTATTTCTTTTAATAGCTAAATAGTATTCTATTGTGTATATATAGCACAGTTTTTTTAATCCATTTATCTGTTGATGGGCATTTAGGTTGATTCCATCTCTTGGCTATTGTGAATAGCACTGCAGTGAACATAGGAATGCAGGCATCTGTTTGATATGTTGATTTCATTTCCTTTGGGTATATACCCAGTAGCGAGATAGCTGGACCCTAAGGTAGATCTAGTTTTAGTTCTCTGAGGAATCCCCATACTGTTTTCCACAATGACTGTGCCAATTTACATTCCCATCAACAGTGTGAAAGAGTTCCCTTTTCTCTGCATCCTTTCCAGCATTTATTTTCTGTCTTGTTCATAGTAGTCATTCTAACTGGAATGAGATGAAATCTCGTGGTTTTAATTTGTGTTAAAATTTTTTCATGTGCTTGTTGGCCAGTTGTATGTCTTCTTCTGAGAAATGTTTTTTCATGTCCTTTGCCCATTTTTCAATTGGGTTTTTTTTTTCTCTGTTAAGTTCCTTATATATTCTGGATATTAGCCCTTTGTCTAATGTGTAGTTGCAAATACTTTCTCCCATTCTGTAGGTTGTCTCTTTAGTTTGTTGATAGTATCCCTTGCTGTGCAGAAACTTTTCAGTTTGATGTAGCCCTTTTTATATTTTGCTTAGTTGCCTGTGCCTTCGTAGGCTCACCCAAAAACCCGCTGCCCACTCCCATTTTAGCGTTTTCCCAGTGTCTTCTTCTAGTAGTTTCATAATTTCAGGTCTTAAATTTAGCTCTGTAGTCCATTTTGAGTTGATATTTATGTACAGTGAGAGATAGGGGTCTAGTTTCCATCTTCTGCATCTCAATATCCAGTTTTCCCAGAAGCTGTCCTTTCCACAGTGTATATTCTTGGCACCTTTGTAGAAAATCAGTTGGCTATAACAGTGTGGGTTTACTTCAGGACTCTCTATTCTGTTCCATTGGTCTATTTGTCTGTTTTTATGCCAATGCCATGCTGTTTTAGTTACTGTACCTTTATAATATATTTTGATCTCAGGAAGAGTGATGCCTCCAATTTGTTTGTTTTGGTTAAGTATTGCTTTAGCAATATGAGATCTTCTGTGGTCCCATACAAATTTTAAAATGGTTTTTTCTATTTCTGTGAATAATGCCATTGGTATTTTAATAGGGATTGCATTGAATGTGCAGGTTGCTTTCAGGAAAATGGACATTTTGATGATGTTAATTCTTCCCACCCATGAACATGGGATATCTTTCCATTTATTAGATCCTCAATTTTTTTCACCTAATTCCCTAATGCATCAACCCTAACCCTAACCATAACCCTAACATCCTAACCCTAACCTTGAGCCCTAACCCCTAACCCTAACCCTAACCATTAAACCTAGTCCTAACCTAACGCCTAAACTTAACCCTTACCTGAGCCCAAGCCCCTAGCCCTAGTTCTAGCCATAACTCTTAATCTGATCTGACCTGACTCCAACCTAGACCCTGTATCCCATACCTACCCTAATCCTAACCCTCACTCTAACCTGATCCTGACAAAATTCCAACTGTATCCCAAACTTGAACTCATTCCTAAATTTGTATCTTAACCTTGAACCCATTCTCAAGGGTAGTCAAAACCATAATTCATATCTTCACTCAAACCCTAAACCAGTTTCATTCTACCCTACTTCTCAACTACTCCCTAACTTAAACCTCAACCAAACCCTAATTCTTAACACCCACCCTAACCTACCATTATCTCCGCATTTACAGTCTAACACTTTGTTTAACCCTAATCTTAAATCCTAATTTCAAATCCAACCTCAACCCCAAACCTAACCCTAAACTAACCCTTTGTCCTAACTCTAACTAGTAATCTCCAAACCTGCCCCAGACACTTCCAGCCTCCCCAAACCTCACCCAACATCTACCCAACTCCAATCTTAACCCATCCACTGCTGTAATCCTAACCCAACCCCAGGCCTCATCCAGCCAAGTGTCCACCCTGATCCTCACCTGGATTCTCAACCTAATCCTACATTTGGGTTGTAATCAGGGCCGAAAGGCAAGTTGTAAAAGTTCTTATTTTCGCTGAGCCCTCCTGGCAGGGTACCCCCAGTTCATGTGGCACCCTGAGACATGCAGCCCCATCCCCTTGCATATATCACCCAGCAACATGATGTGTTTTTGTTTTGATTTTTTCTAAGTTTTTATTTTAATCCAAGGACTTTGCTTCATACAAAATATCATTGTAGAAACAACAGCAGAATCCAAAGTTTGGCTGATAAATATTACTCAAGCAGCAAACTAGTCAATCACAGAATTTTTTTTTTAAAGTAAGTCCCAGGTGTGTTGCATGGTTGGGACTTCTTTTTTTTTTTTTTTTTTTTAACACTGTTCTTAAATATAAAGTTTTGCAACAAACCTTCAATTTATATCAAATATAATTAAAAATTAACAAATGAATACAATGTATCAAAAAGTATGAAGATATACATTTTCATGCACATACTTGTATATATGTATATATATATATATTTTACATGCACACATAACTTGTTCAAACTACAGCCACTGCTTGACTGGTTCCAGATGCAGACAACTGGTTAATGCATTTCAAATTTGGCAACTCACTATGAGATTTAAGGGGAAACATGATAATTTGAGAAGAGACAGTACAGAAACAAAACCCAGTCAGGAAGACAAAACATATGTCTCCTTTCCCTTCTCCCTGTAATTTTCATCCATTCCAATGCCTCGAAGAATCCAGACAAGCCAACCAGGCTGTGTGGGTCTAGAAAAGAGGATTCTGGACCCAGTATGGCCTACGGAAACAGCTGTGGTTGGTTCTGCACAGAACGGATACATTCGTCACCCAAGAAAACATGGGCTGGGATGGGGGAACAAGAGACAAACGTCAGCAACAGAATACACATCCTTCTGCTTTGCAACATGAGCACAGCAATCACATGCACTGTCGAGATTCCTGTTTAATTTTATCCTACTGGAATAAAATACTCTGTTATCTTTAAAGTCTCAGAGTGTTGTGCCTTCACATAAGGAAATTCTATAAAAAGGTTTGGTCACAATCATGCTGAAGCCCTAGACCAGGTGGCGGTCTTGTGTGATTTGTTTCTATCAAACATGTGCCTTTTGTTGCAATAGCCCTATAGATGACAGCCACTCACTGCACACACCTGCACATACGTCGCACCTCCTGTGAGCACAGACACACACATACCACACGCAGTTTCCTTGAGGACAGTCATAGGGCAGAAGCCAATAATCCAACAAAGAGATCATCTGAAATTTCAAAACAGGACACACCAGAATCAACTCATCTAAATGCTCCCTCTCTTCACGAAACAAATGGTCTCCCAGCATTTTGTGCACCCTGAACGACGTCCTGAGTATGCTCTTCCCTTTGAGAGTAGCCATGAGGTGGGATTTCAGTTTACTGCCTGCACCATCGCCTGCTCAGAGCCTTGGCCTCACGTCAGCCAGAGCTTCCCTCCCTCCTGCCCTGATGGCCCCACATCCAACCCCTGTCCCCACCCACCTTCCTATTCTTCAGCCTCATGTGAAAAGAAACTTATTTCACACACAGCAGAGATCATGCCCTACATGGCAGGCACCAGTCCCTGAGAATCAGACAGAGAACAGATTGAAAATGCCTCACACAAGCACACATGCTGCTGCTCGCGGCTTCCTGGAATCCCTCCTGCTGGTGGAAGAAAGACAGGAATGGCTGCCTTGTTTCCAGCGATAACATGTCACCGGATGTCACCCATTATCCACCTCTGACAACAGCTTTCTACCTGGCTGTGGTTATCAGTAGTTTTCACAAACCCCACCCGTGATGGTTCGCAAGGTCTCATGCCGCGATGCCCAGGAGCCCGGTGTGTGAGGGCCCAGGGCAGGCACTTGGTCGAGAGCGGCAGTAGCAAGGGGTTGTCTGGGGCTGCCCGGACTGGACAGTCCATGCAGGAGCATCTCCCCACTCAAGTCACAGAAACACGCAACGAAAAGTTGAGCTCTTTCTACAGTTTTGATTTTTTAAAGTTATGCTAAGTTTCTTTCCCCATTTTTCTGGTTTTCTATTTTTTCTAAATCAAGTATATAGAAATGACAAAAAAGTGAAGGGTGTTGCAATTAAAAACCAAAATCAACAGCAAGAACCTCTTCCAGATTTGGTCCCTGTTGGGGTTGATGGTGTCCAGGGAAGGACAGAGAGCAGTTGAGTGTATTTCCAGCATACGTGTGCTGTTCCAGTACGGACAGCAACAACGGGTGTGCGTGTGTGTTTATCGATACCCAGGAGGGCTGGACCCGAGGCTGCCCTTATCACCAGCAGCTCCGTCCTGCACTCTCCCCACACTTCCAGACATGCCCTGCCTTCTACACCACACACCTGCATAAAGGATGCTCCCTCACAAGATTTCGACCTAGAAAGGTTCCAAGCACCCAACCTGGATGCTTGAGTCCACAGCACAGCATGTGGACCTGCCAGGTCCTTCCCAGCCACACACAGCCACTTCCTGTCTAGGATCTGATGTGTGGTGAGAACCAGGAAGCAGCACATGAGGTGGATAGAGAGCCACGTCCCTCTACAAAAGGGCTTTATTAATCCGTCCAGTGTAAAAGAGGAGGGGGGAGGGGGAAAGGCGCAGCAGGAGCCCCCACCAAGGCAGCCCAGGAGGCGAGGCCCCTTTTCCCAGGGGCTGCTGCCCCTGACCCCGAACATCCTCAGGAGCCAGCGTGGATGATAAAACTCATCAACTGGAACACACGCCCGCTGCATGCAGGTGCGTGGGCGGTCACGGTGCAGCTAGCACCAGTGGTCTTGGTCCGGGTGGTGGTAGCTGTACCGCGCCCGGCTGCCTGAGCCCAGTCCCAGAGTGCAGTGGTAGCCATTGGGCACACGGCGGAGTGGGTGGGACTGGGAGGTCAGGGATGAGACGTAGGAAGTCCTGGAGGAGCGGCCTGAGTTGGTGGCCACCGCCTCCTCGAAGGTGAGAGTGTCCTCAGGCAGAGAGTGGGCAGAGGCCTCACTGTCCACACGCTGCCCCAAGTAAGGGTCGGAGCCAATGCGAGAGCTGGGGGCCAGGGGCTGGCTGAGGGGCTCTCTCTGGAGCAGGGCATTGTGTTCAGAAAGGCCACGGCTGAGCCGGCCAGGGGAGAAGGTGGGGAGGCTGGTCTGAGCCCCGGCGAAGTGAACAGGCGAGGAGTTGGCGGTCTTGTAGGTGATGCTGGGGCGGGGGGTCAAGGGGGTCTGGGGGAGCTGCCTCCGCCCACCACGGCCGGGGGTGCTAGCACCAGATGTTGACAGCAAGGGGCTCCCATTAACTGAACCACTTCCCTACATGAAAATGGAACAGAGCACAGCAAGAATAAAAAACAAACCAAACAGACAGAGCACAGTGCTCAAGGCATGCATGTGCAGGGGACGTAGAGGGTGCTGGTCAGGGACAGGCACAGGGGCCAGGGAAGAGAACAGACCGAAGGCCAGACACTCACAGTTGGGCAAGGAAAGTGAAGAAGCAACTGGGAGAGAGAGGCAGACAAGAACAGAGGACCATGACCACCGAGGGAGCCTGACAAGGACACAGCCAGGCTGGGGACACAGATGGGGGCTGCGGGAGCAGGCCACAGAGGGAGCCCCTGAGGGTTAAGCCGGCTGGGGAGGCCCTGGGGTGGGAAGGAGAAGAAGCAGGCCAACCCCCCTGCCACCCTGCTCACCTGTGGGTGGGGTCCTGGCTGCTGCCCAGCTGTTGGCGACGTGGGGTGGCTGCCGAGGGAGGGCTTGGGCTGCGGAGGCTCACGGCCCCCAAAACGGTCACAGGAATAGAAGCGCTGCTTCTCCGAGGAGGAGGATGAGGGCTGCCTCCGCTCCTGGGACCGGCCCCGCTCCTGCCTGCGCTCCCGCTCCCGCCGGCATCCTGTGGGCCCCTCTGCTGGGGTCAGCCCCATCCCCGCAGTGCTGCTTGGTGCTGTCCCAGGAAGAGGAGAAGTTAGCGCAGTTGGGTGAGAGCCCCAACCCCAGACCCCAAGCCTGGTCCCCCCAGGGCCAGCAGCACAGACCTTGGGCAGTGCCAGGGGAAGCAGCGGGGGTAGGTGCTCTGCCTGGTCCCCAGACCTGGAGCTCACCCTCCCCACTGCTCCAAGCTGGTTATGGGCCCTGAGGGACACAAAAGAAGAAGATCCCCCAAGGGCTCAGGCCACAGCCCCTCAAGAGGCTCCCCGGACCCTTGTGCACACACCACCATCCGTGTCTGCAGACAGGCTGGGCCCTTTCTCCAGGGGCCTCTGCTTCTTGTCCCTGCGGCGATGGCAGCGGTGGTGGTGGTGGTGGGGAGCCTGGCTGGGGGCAGGGCGGTCCAGGATGGCATTGCAGAGATGAGCCCCGTGGGGGCGCTGGGCCAGGGTGGAGACGGAGCGTTTCATGGGGCTGGCATCTGGGGCAGGCTGTGGGTGAAGCACGGGGGGTTGAGTGGGCCTATGGCCTTAGAGTGAGGCCTGGGCAAGGAACCCACACAGCTGGGGCATCTCCCCAAACAGGACAGGCTGGGAGTCCTGGCTGCCCGACCCTGTGCCTAGGAGGTCCCTAGGTGGGTGGTCTGCCCCAGCCCGTGGGTCCTGCCAGGAAGAGGGAAGCTGGTGTCTTGGCTGAAAGAATCCTAGTGGGGCCCATAGGTGCCCCACCAGCTGCAGTGGGCTGGTCCACAAGGCTGCCCCCCAAGGCTGAAATCAGGACCTGTGAGCTTCACGTCGAGCTCACCCACAGCCACCAGAGAATCAAACACAAGGAGGAAGAGGCTCCACACAGACTGAGGGGGCAGTGCCTGTGAGACCAGCACCATGTCCTGGGAAGCCCACGGGGCTGACAGTGTCAAGGCTGCACCAGCTGTCAGGGCAGCTCCAGGAGTGCCTGCTTCCCTACTCCTCTCCACTCTGGGTCCCGCACCCTCAAGTGGTGCCCCCCACTCCCTCATCCCATGGCCTGGAGCCGGCTAGACCACCCACCTGTGTCTCTGCCGCCAGGCGGGGCATAGAGGCAGCACGGCCCTGGCTCTCCAGCCCGGGCTGGGGCTCCTCATCAGGGCCCCTCAAGGCCATGTTCTGCATCTGGACATCCACAGCCTGTGGGGACAGCAGCCCCCCAGTCACACTTCACAAAGCACCCCCAACATCTTTCCATCCCGATCTCACCCCCCATCCCATCCTGGCCTCACCCCCCCATCCCATCCAGGTCTCACTGCCCCCCCATGCCATCTCATTCCCCAGGCCTGGGAGCACTTACCAGAGCTCCCGTCTGCCCCACTGGGATCTCCGCTGAGTGGCCACGCTCCAGGGGAGTCCTGACCTCATAGTGTGCATCCTGGGTCCTCCGCGTGCCCCAGGAAACAGACTCCTTGATGCCACCTTCTTGGGTTTGTCTGTGGAAGAAAGGAGAGGGCTGTCTTGTCTGGTCAGAGGCCCGTGGGCCACAAATGTCCACCCAGGAATCTGGTGCTCTGACCCACCAGGAATCTCCACCAGCCACACCCTCAGCAAAGGTCAGGAACCCCAGTCACCCTGTGGGGTTGAACAGGCCCTCCCTCGAGCGCAAGAGCTTCAACATGGTCCATGCACATTGGACCCAAGCAAAGGCACATCAGAGGACTTGGCCCCCATACAGGGTCAGAGCTGGACAGGAGAGAGGACACCAGTGGCCTAGCGAGCAGCAGCTCACAGCCTCAGTCTGAAGGAAGCCTGGGCCCCGCAGTTCCTGGGGACATGTGGCAAGTTCCTTGACCCTGAACAGGGCCCATCTGTGGGACGGGAACATGATCATCCCCACTGCACAAGACCATGATGGGAAGGGACGGGCTTCACATGAGTGGAGAGCTGCCAGAGGAGTCCTGCCTGTCAGAGCAGGACAGGCTGTGACTGAGGCCCCTCCCGGGCTTCCTCCCCCAGGGGCTCCTCCAAGAGACACCTTCCCATCCCCTCCAACACACTCACACACACTCTCAGGATCAACTGTTCAACTTTAAATGCAAACATGGCATCTTAACCAACACACAGAAAGGACTTTGAGAGGAAGGCTGGCTTCCAGGACCTGGTTCCTAGAGTTGGGAGCACATCTTTCACAAGACAGCATCAGTAGTTCTGGCCACATTCTCCCTCTGCAGCATCCACTTCCCACCCCTTGACATGGGCCTGGCTGTGCAACCTGCTCTGGCCGATGGGATGTTGGTCGGTGGCGCACAAGTAGAGATCTGAAGAGGGTCTGCACCCAGGCCCCTCTCCTGCAGTTCTTGGGGCCAGCACCATGCAGATGGTGCCTCATGCCCTGGGAGCCACTGGTCTTGGATGTCTGGGAGAACCATGCCCTCCACGAGGAACCAAACCCAGCCCAGTCCCCACCCACCACCCCTCAGCCAACCCACAGTGAGAAGAAATGATCATTGTTTTAAGTCACTTTGTTTTGGGAGGTTACCAAGAAATACCGTGGCGAGAGTTAAGTGAGATAGACAGGCCTTAGTAATTTGTCTACAAAATAGAAAAGATTCAGAAATCAATAAAAATGGAGCTCTGAGAGGAAAAATGTCTTAAAGGAGTTAGGAGATTAGAACACGAACAGGCCATTATTAACAGAAAGGGGTGAGAATTTGGGGTGGAAACAATTTCTTAATGGTCTTCAGGCACCAAAGGCCATGGCAAAGCAACAGCAGAAGTGTGCGCTGGAGGAGCAGGTGCACTCAGTGGGCAGTGCCACTCGGGAGGATGACACCGTCCAAACTTGTTTCAGCGCTGCTGGAGAGGAGGGCTAGATGAGCATGTCTCCAATGGTACCGGAATTAAGTTTAAAGTCTGCCACATAAACCCAGGAAATGAAAAACCACTCGCAGTAGCAAACCTTGACTAGCTTCCAGGAAGCACAGACAGGGACTACACGTGGCTGCACCTCACAGGTGGAGGTGCGTGGAGGGTTGACCACGGAGCCAATCCCTGAGGGCTCCCTGTCCTTGGATGGCTGCCCAAGGCTCCAGGGGTCCCAGGCTGGTGAACTCAGAAGCCAGTGGTGAGGGTCAGGGACATTGAAGATATGGGGTTCCTGCTCCCCTCACTGGCTCTGGCTCCCTTCCCCCAGCCCTGTCTTGCAGCTGGGTACTCACACAGCCCCACCGTTGCTGAGCGAGGTGGAGCTCTTCTGCCGAAGGAAAACCCGGGCTCCTCGGAGTACTGCTGGCTGTGTCTGTTCCAGGGTGGCCTTCAGTGGGTGGAACAGCGACACAGGGCCCATCTGCAAAAGGGGCAGAGGGAAAGCACTCTGAGGGCTGGGGAGGCAGGCCCCCAATGGACTTGCGATGTAGCCTCAGTGACCTCTTCTGACCACACGGCATGATACAGAGGCCGGTTCTTGTCCAAGCCCAGCACTGGAGCTCCTTATCCCTCCGCAAGGGGCCACGTGCTTCCCCTGTGCCCACCCTGTCCCTAACTGTGAGCGTGAGACCAGAATACTGAGGCTGGCCAGGGGCCCCTACAGCATCTCCTCACAAATTTGTGCGTAGGTGACTTCAGGAGAGCCTGTCACTTCCAGAACCTCAGTTTCCCTGTCTGTACAATTAGGGGACTGGACCAGATTACAGATGGAAAAGAGATTCCATCCCATCACCAACTTGCATCGGTCATGTAGGGGCAGCAGGGGCTGCCTGCAGGTTCCAGGGCTGGGGGGACCCTGCTGAGGTTGACTGAGTGGAGTGGTGTCTGCCCCAGACATGGGGCAGGAGAGGGTGGCCTGAGCACCAGACATTTCCCATCCCAGGGCTGGGTGAGTGTCCCAGGAAGCTCTGGAAATCTATACAACTTTCTAGACAGAGCTACACACAGTCGCAAAGGTGTGTTACGCAGGAAAGATACTCTCTTTGAAGGACATCAGGAAAACGGGCCCCAACTACCCCAGTCAGAGTCCCGAGCAGAAGGAATAGTGACCCTTCCACCCCACAAACCAATCCTCAAATATTCCACAGTCTCTTCCTCTCTTCCACCACTTAACAAAGGGGATATTGCCCAGGACCTCTGTTCTCAGCCCCCTTGTCTTCTGCCCCTGAACACTAGCTCTCCGAGCCAGGGGCTCCCGATGTCCCCAGCAGCCCGCACATGGGAAACATGCGGCTACGCGGGGCTCCTGCCTCGGGGGCCAGAGAGGCGGCTCCAAGGCTCTTCCTTCCCCTGCCCCACTTCCTCCAGGAAGGGTCTGCGTCCCCCACACTGTCCAACCACCGAGGACGCCAGCATCGCAGAAGCCCAAAGGCGCCTGGAACCCGGTACCTGGGACAGGCCTCCGGGAGCTTGGTGAATCGGGTCTCTGGTGGTTTTGTTCTGTTTGTAGAAGTCGAATATCATAAGAGCCGCGTAGACTTTCCCCACTGTCATCTCGTCAGCTACCGGGAAGAGCAAGCCAAGGAGGGAGTAGGGAGGAGAGAGGGGCAGAGGCCACAGGAGATGCAGGGCACAGTGAAGAGGGGACACGGCCTCCCTCCCTCGCCCACCACAAGGACCCCTGGAAACACCCCGGGAAGGAGGGGCTCTCAGGCGGGACACAGGGCGCGGCCTCCCCATGGCTCCTCCCGATGCTGAGCTAGTCCCACCTCGAGCTGCTCTGATCCCTCCCGAGGCCCCCACGACCGGGTCGCGCCATCCCACCTCTGCCTCAGGCAGGGTCCCGCCATCCCCTCCCAAGAAGGAGAAACCAGCTTGGGCACCTCATCTTTTCTCACATCCCTAACTATAGTGTTCCCTCTTCCCTCCCACCTTTCCTCTGCATTTCTAAAAATAAACTCCCCACGCTAAGAGTGTGAGTGATTTTGCTCAACTGAATGAGCCCCAGATCACCTCCCGCGGCTCCTACACCGTGCAGTGCTCCCCACGGGTCGGGCCTAAGTGCGCCCCAACGGGGAGGTGAGCCGGCCTCTCAAGGCAGCCGCCCCTCGCCCCTTGTCCTCACTTCCACGTGCCTCCAGCCTCTCCTGCAGCCTCTCTGCTCTGCCTCAGGGAGGACAGGGAAGGTGGGGCGGGGCACTGCTTGCCTCCCACTTACGTTTATGGGGTGGTACCAGTAAGTCCAGGGTCTTCTGGGGGAGATTGGCCCACACGGAGGAAATCTCCTTCCTCAGCTCCGCATCACACTGATGCTGCTTTGTCCCGGCTGGGTAGGACGATGGCAGAGAAGGGAAGAGATGGACATTAGGGGCACTCCTGCAGTCCCCGCTGGGGCAGAGCTGGGCAGGCGGGGACAGGCATGGTGTGAAGGGAAGACGGGTGGAGACAGTGCAGCAGGAAGGACACGGGCTGGAGGCCGGTCAGAGCTCTCCCTGCAGGAGTCTGCCTGGAGGAGGCGGCCAGCAAGCCGAGCATCCAGCTTGCAGGTGCACGTGTCTATCCAGCAGCACACAGGTGCGCCAGTGCATTCGTGTGCATGCGTGTGTGAGCACTGTGTGCACGTGCACATTCGTGTGCATGCGTGTGTGAGCACTGTGTGCACGTGCACGTGCAGACGTGTGCTGTGTGTGTGCCCGGGGAGTGGCAGTGGGCATGCGGAAGGGACACGGTAGCATCCCAGTCATTCGCCCATTCACTCAACAATATTGACGGAGCACCCACTGAACATCGGGCACTGTTCTAGGTGATGGGACGCAAACAAAGAGGTAAAGAGCTGCCCTTCTGGGGTTTACAGTACTTTACTCTACAATAAAGTAGCGATAGATATAAAAGAGAACAAATCCAGTGTGTTGGCTAGTGAGGACCGACAGGGAGACGAAGAGCACATCAGGGGATGGATGAGAAGTGCCAAGACGACTGCGGTTTTGGATGGGGTGGCAGGAAAGGTCTCATGAGGAAGGTGGCACATGGGTGAGACCCTGAAGGCAGACAGGGACCAGAGAGGGCAAAGGCCTTGGTGCGTCACAGAAACCAGGAGCAGGAAGGTGGTGTGGTGGGGCAGAGGGAAGGGTTAGGGTTAGGGAAGCGGGGTGGGGGGCTTGAGCAGAGGAATAAAATAACTTTTTTAAACATCGAGTTTATGAAGGCATAATTCACATACAGTAAAATTTACCCTTTTTAGTTATACTATGTGTTTTGGTAAATGCACATGATTACACAGCCACCACAATGAAGATATGGGATAGCTGCATCACCCCCAAATCCTTCACATCCCTTCATGGGTCAATCCCCAGACCTACTCCCAGCCCCTGCAATCACTGGTGTGTTTTTGTCTCTGTGGTTTTGTATCCTACAGACTGTCATACAAATGACACACACGGTGTGTTGGCTTTTGGGTCTTTCTTTCCCTCAGCCTGATACATTGAGACTCAGCTGTGTTGTTGCATATACTGGCGGTCTGTTCTGCCTCCTGCTGAGCACTGTTGCATTGAATGAATGTACCACAGTCTGTCCATCACCAGCTGATGGACATATGAGTTCCTTATCGTTTGGGGAAGTCGTGAACGTTTGCAGGCGGGTTTTTGTGTGGATGTCTCCTTTCATTTTCTAAGTGGATGTCTGGGCCATAAAAGTAAGTGCAAACTGCTCTGTGAAAGACCGTTCTGTACTCCCATGGGACACATAGGAGTTCAGCCGCCTGCTTTCTCACCAGCACAAGACGTTGTCATTTTAAAACGTGTTCTGGCCATAATGGTGTGTCGCATTATCTTGCTGTGGCTTTACTTTGGATTTCTCTGGTGATTACTGATATGAGCATCTTCACATGTGCTTAATTTGCCTTCGATATATCTGCTCTGGTGACATGTCCATCCAAGTCTTTTGCCCATTTTGATTGGGTTGTTTATTTTCTTATTGTGAAGTTGTGACAGTCCTTTATACATTATAGACACTACTCCTGCATCATATATGTGTTTAGCAAATATTTTCTCCAAGTCCTAGCTTGTCTTTTCATTTTCTTAAATACTTTTTGAACAGCAAAAGTTTTTATTCTGATAAAGTTCAATTTATCATTTTTTTTCTTTTATGGTTTATACTTTTTGTGTCTTAAGAAATCTTTGCCTAACCTAAAGTTACCAACATTTTTCTTCTATGTTTTCTTCTAGAGGTTTTACAAATTTAGATTTTACATTGATGTCTATGATCCATTTCAAGTTCATATTTGTGGACCATGAAAGGTGTGTGCCATGGATTGTACTGTGTGCACACACACCCCCATAATTCATAGGTAGAAGCCCTAACCCCCGATGTGGCTATATTTGGAGACAGGGCCTATTAGGAGGTAATTAAGATTAAGTGAGGTCATAATGGTGGGGCCCTGATCCACAGGATTAGTTTCCTTATAAGAGACACCAGAGAACTCGCTCTCTCTCCTTGCACCACCAGAGGAAAGGCCACATGAGGACACAGCAAGAAGGAAGGTGGCCATCTGTGGCCAAGAGAAGAGGCCCCAGAGTGAGACCTGCCTCGCCAGCACCTTGATCTTGGACTACCCAGGCCTTCAGAACTGTGAGGAATAAATTTCTGGTCTTTAAGCCACCCAGACTGTGGTATTTTGAGGGTGAGAAATATTTTTACGGTAATTGAAAGGTGGGGCCTTGAAGATGTGATTAGATTGTAGGATCATACCATAGTAAACGGGTTAATAATTATGGTCAGGGGCGTGGTCCTGAGGACTTTAAAAGAAGAGCACATGAAATGTTAGTCTCTCTCTGCTCTGCCATTTTGCAATGTGATACCCTTCCGTCACTGTTGCCGCCACCAAGGCCTTCACGAAGTGTGTTCCCTGGACTTTGGACTTCCTAGCCTCTGAAACTGTAAGCAATAAATTTCATTTTCTTATATTACCCAGTTTCGGGTATTTTACTATAAGCAACAGAGACATACTAATACAGAAAATTGGGACTAAGAGTGTGGTGTTGCTTATAACAGACACTTGAAAATGTGGAAGCAGCTTTGGAACTGGGTAATGGGCAAAGGCTGGAAGAATTTGGAGGAACAGGCTAGAAAAAGCCGAGATGCTGGTGAAAGTTTAGAAGACAAGAGGACCTGGGAAAGTTTAAAATGTTAAACTGACTGGCTAAATGGTAATGACTAGAATGCTGATAGAAATATGGACAGTAGGGCCGGCCCGTGGCTCGCTCGGGAGAGTGCGGTGCTGATGACACCAAGGCCCCGGGTTCGGATCCTATATAGGGATGGCCGGTTCGCTCACTGGGTGAGCGTGGTGCTGACAACACCAAGCCAAGGGTTAAGATCCCCTTACCGGTCATCTTTTAAAAAGAAAAAGAAGGGCCGGCCCGGTGGCGCTGCTACAGTGCGCCACTTGGGAAGCGCGGCAGCGCTCCCGCCGAGGGTTCGGATCCCACATACAGACCAGTTCCCGCTCACTGGCTGAGCGAGGCGAGGGAGCAGCACCGAGGGTTGCGATCCCGTTGCCGGTCCCAGTCCGGTACGGGCGCGACACTGAGGGTTGCGATCCATTGCCGGTCACGAAAAAAGACAAAAAGGAAAAAAAAAGAAAAAGAAAAAGAAATATGGACAGCAAAGAGCATTCTGAGAAGATCTCAATGTAAATGAGAAGGGACTTCTTGGAAACTGGGGCAAAGATCATCCTTGCTATGAACTGGCAAGGAACTCGGCTGCATTGTGTTCATGCCCAAAAGCTTTATGGAAAGTGGAACTTCAAGGTGCTGACCCAGGGTATTTGATGGAAGACGTTTCTAAGCAACGAAGTGTTAAGGAAGCTTCAGAGCTACTTGTAACAGCCTTCTCTGAGTTATGGTGGCAAAGACATGACATAAAGACAGAATTTAAAAGGGAAGCAGAGCATAAAGATTTAGAAAATCTGCAGAGTGGCCATGTGGTAGAAAAGCAGAAGGCATTTTCAAGAGAAAAAATGCAATGGTGCTAAGAAGATGAGTACAAAAGAAAGGGATTATCAAGAGAAGGGGTAAAATGCCCTGAAGGCATTGCAGAAGCCTCTGTGGACAACCCTTCCATTATAGGTCCAGAGGACTAGGGAGACAGAATGGTCTCAGGGAACAGACCTGAGGCGTCACCCACGGTCTTGCTGCCCAGGGCCACCTTGGGAAGCTGCTTCCAGCACCAGCACCCAGGTGCTTTGGTTGCTCCAGCCATGGCTAAATTGGCCTAGGTGTGGCTAGACCCACAACTTTGGAAGATATAAGCCAGAAGCCTTGGCAGCATCTATGTGGTGTTAAGTTTGCAGGCTTGCAGAATGGCAGAGCTCTGAAGGCTTGAGAGTCTCCACCTTGATTTCAAAGGCTGTATGGAAAAGCCTGGGGGCCCAGGAAGAGATCTGTTGTAGGGACAGATTCACTGCAGAGTGGAAATGTGGGGTCAGAGATGCAGCAGAAAAACCACAACACAGCCATGCCTAGTGGAGCCATGAGAGCGGTACCACCATGGACCCCAGACTTGTGGAGCTACCAGAGTGGAACACCAGCCTGGGAGAGCTGAAGTATGGCCTAAGACCAGGAAAGCCATAGGAGTGGAGCTGCCTGAGGACTTGGGGACCCAACCTCCACACCAGCATGCAGAGGAGGTCAAACATGGACTCAAGGTACATGACTTGCGAGCTTTGAGATTTAATACCTGCCCTACTGGGTTTTGGACTTGTTTGGGACCTGTTACACCTTTCTTTTGGCCTATTTCTCCCTTTTTGAATGGGAATATGTACCCTATGTTCGTCCCACCATTATATCTTGGAAGTAGATAACTTGTTTTGATTTCACAAATAGGACTTTGAACTTTGGACTTTTGAGTTGAAACAAGTTAAGACTTTGGGGATGAAATGAGTGTATTTGCATGTGAAAAGGACATGAGTTTCGGGGTGGAATGTAGTGGATTGATTGAATTGTGTCCCCCAAATTTCATATGTTGGAAGCTTAATTCCCACTGTTACTGTTGAAAATGGGAAATCCTATTAAGGTAATTGAAAGGTGAGGCCTTGAAGAGGTGATTAGATTGTAGGACCATGCCATAGTGAATGGATTAAAAATGGTGGATGTCGGCAGGTCCTGAGGGCTTTAAAAGAAGAGCACATGAAAGGTTAGTCTCTCTCTGCTCTGCCACTTTGCAATGTCACTGCCATCTCTGTTGCCACCACCAAGGCCTTCACCAGATGTGCTCCCTGGACTTTGAACTTCCCAGCCTCAGAAACTGTGAGCGATAAATTTCCTTTCCTTATAAATTACCCAGTTATAAGCAACAGAAATGGACTAATACATTGGCCTTGTATTCTGTGACCTTTAGTAACTTTTAAAATAAATCTTTGGATTTTTTACATAGATAATCATGTCAATTGTAAAAGATGCACTTTCATGTCTTCTTTTCCACTCGGACACCTCTTATTTCTCTTTTCTTGCTTTATTGCACTGGCTAGGACCTCAAGCATGATGGTGAACAGGAGTGGTAACAGTGCTGACGTCCTTGCTCTGTTCCTGATCTTAGGAAAAGAATGGTCAGTCTTTCTTTGTTAAGTACGGCATTAGCTGTAGATTTTAATAGATATCCTTTATCATATCCATATGATATGATATGATTGAGGAACTTTCCCTTAATTCCTAGTTTATGTAGAAAGGTTTTTTTTTTATCACAAATGGATGTTGAATATTGTCAATTTTTTTTTTGCATCTATTGAGATAATTATATAGTTTTTCTTCTTTGATATAGTAAATTGCATTCAGTGATTTTCAAAAACTGAGTCAACTTTGCATTCCTGGGATAAACACCACTTCTGTCATCATGTATTATATTTTCTTATATATTGCCAAATTCATTTTGCTAAAATTGTGTTGAAGATCTCTGTATCTATGTTCATAAGGGATATTGATCTGTAGTTTCTCTTTTCTTGTCATATCTTTATCTGATTTTGGTATCAGAGTAAAGCTTGCCTCATAAAATGAGTTTGGAAATATTCTCATTTTCTATTTTCTGGAAGAGTGTGTATAGAACTGTCATTATTTCATCCTTAAATGTTGGGGGATTTCACCAATGAGGCCATCTGCACCTGAAATTTTCATTATGGAGAGGTTTTTGCTATGAATTTGATTTATTTAGCAAATATAGTATTGCTGAGGTTATCTAATCTTGAATGAGCTTGGTAGTTTGTGTTTTTCAAGGAATTTTTCCATTTCATTTAAGTTGTTGATATTTTTGACATCATTAAACCATTCGTAATACTCCTTTGCTATCCTTTTAGTATCAGCAGGATCTGCGGTGATGCCCCTCCTTTGTTCCTCACCCTGGTTATTTGTATCTTCTCTCTTTTTTCTGGATCAATCTAGCTAGAGGCTTATCAGTTTTATGGGTCTGATTTTTAACCTGCAGAAGGAGGCTGCTGTGCTGGAGTTGGGCTGAGGGGCAGGAGCAAGTGAGGGAGGCGGCTGCTGCAGCCCAGAGCTGGCAGAGGCTGCAACCAGGGAGTGCAGCAGGGAAGGCGGGCGGGTGATCACATTCTGGATGTATTCTGAAGGTAAAGTCAAGAAGATATGATGATGGATTGAGTGTGGATCAGAAATGGGTGAGATAACGAAGAGGATAAGGACAACTCCAGGGGTTTTGTCTTGAGGAGCTGGGAAGATGGGCTCCCATTGATGGAGATGGGAAAGACTGCAGGGGAGTCTGGAACGTGCGTTTGGCAGGTCGACTTTGGAATGTTTATGGGGCCTCCAGGTGGAGATGGTGACTAGCTCGTGGGATACATGAGTCTGGAGCTCAGAAGGGAAGCCCAGATTAAAAATACAAAATTGGAATTCATGACATATTCATGAATTCATGACATTTAAAGACATGAGAACAGGTAAGATGGTACACATTCAGAGCTTGGGAGATAAGAGAAACCAGAAAAAGAGACATAAAAAGCTTTCAAAAAGGGAGGACTGAGAAAAGGCTGCAGACAGGTCAACAAGGTGGATGTGGAGGCCACTGGAGAAATCGGCAAGAGCCGTTCCAGTGACATCTCAGGGTAGGAGCCCAGCTGGAGGCTGGGAAAGAGAAATCAGAGACAGTAGAGATCAGCCTCTCAAGGAGCTGGTTGGTATGAAGGAAAGAAGAAAAATAGGAAATCAATGGAGGGGGAAGGGATGTGAGAAATAATAAGGTGTTTATATGTTGATACGAATAATCCAAAAGAGAGAAAACTTGACAGGGCAAGAAGCAGAGTATGGAACTGCCGGTGGAGATGCTGGCCAGGCTCCAGGGCAGGCAGGGAGGACGGCGATGGGGGCAGGGCAGGTCCCCTGCTGGTGGCTGTAATGTTCTCCATGAGGGGGGAAGGGGAGGGGTGGGGAGGATGTGCTGGAGGTTCATTCTCTCCTTGCTTTGGCACAGCTCTGAGGTCCCGTATGTCTTATCAGGGGAGGACCTGATGGGGGTTAGGCTCACTATGGGGAGCGAGCAGAGGGCACGAAGACTCTTTGCCTGGACAAGGTGTTAAATTTCACTGCGCCTCAGTTTCCTTATCTGAAAATGGGATCATTACAGTGCTGACATGCGCGTGGTTAGCAGGGGATAAAGCTGGTGCATGCCCGGCAGAGCAGAAGCTCTGTGCAGCTGACATCAAACCCCTCCAGACACAGCCAGCCCCTCAGTCTCCTCCCTGCGTGCCTGCCTGCAGCTGGCTCTTGAGGGAGGTGGTGCACAGCCCCACACTTGGTGCCCTTCCTCCCCCAAGGCCACCTTGCTCACCTGGGGCCAGCTTGATCTCCAGTGCAGTCCGGATGAGGGCCATCAGCGTGGATGTGAAGTGGACGGTCATGTCCTCATTGGAGATGGGCATGTTCATGCGGACCAGACGCTGGGGATGAGCAGGAGCAGGTCAGGGACAGGCCTGAAAGGGCCACCCCCCACCCCAGGACTGCACAGGGGGTGTGGCCCCTGGAGGCTGGGCTGGGCCTCCCGGGGGTGGTCCCTGCAGGTACCTGAGCCCAAGTGAGGTTGAATAGATGGGAGCTTTGCCAGCATTCACCCTCTCCCCTGGACCCTCACCCTTTTCTGAGCTGAGGATTCTCCTGGCTACAGAAAAGTAGAAATCCAGGTGAAGACTGGAGCACAGGGCCAGGCCAGGAGTCTTGGTCCCTCTGAAGGAACAACACATCCTCAGCTAGAGGGACCCCTGCCCACTGCCAGTCGCTGAAAGAAGGGTATGTGGCCTTGGCTGAGGAGGGAGGGTCCAAGGCTGAGGCTCCTCTGCCACAAACAAGGGGAAGCACCCTGTCCTTATGATCTGCCCAGCCTTGCCTCCTCCACCTGCAGCTTTGACGGGTGGTCAAGTGCACCAATCTGAGGTACAGCTCCCAGCAAGGCTTCTGCCTCTCACCATGCAGCCAAGGGGCCAGAAAGAGACACTCACTGCCACTCGAAGGCAGAGCCCATCTCAGCTCAAGGCAGCAGGAGAAGCCCTAGAGACCAGCTCACAACAGATGGGACTGCAAAGGGCCTCGGGCTCAGCCAGCAACAGGGTAGGGACAGTGCCCTGCAGCTCTGCCCCCCCCCACCACGTTCCTCTCTGTTTTCAGGGACAGAACAGCTGGAGACAGGCATGTGTCTGCACCCATCCTCCAGGCACAGCCAGCCGCTGCCCAGAACCTCAGGCTCTGATAGCCTATGAGGCCTCAAGGAGGGAGTGTGTCTCAGCTGTGTCTGGAGCATCCTGCACATAGGAATCACTTGGCTGGCCAAGTGGAGCCCCAGAAGCTCTGCCCATGTTGTCCTCTGCCACAGGATGGGAGCTGCAGACAGGAGCCCCTCCCTGGGCTCTGCCGACCCTCTCTCAAGGCTGCACTCTGTGGCAGGGCAGCCCCTCAGCACCTCCCTGGGGAAGGCCATGCAGCCCTGCTCCCAACATCCTCGACTCAAATCCAGACTCCTCAGTCCTGGGAGGATGCAGGATGGGGGCTGGAGACATGAGCCAAATCCTGTCCTCCAAATGCTGGCAAAGCCCCATGTGGCAGGTCCAGTCATGGTCCCAGCACCTCACACCTCACGTGCCACACACTGGGAAAAACTGGCTTCCCAGAGCATGGCATCCCTGCAGCCCTGCACCAATGGCAGCAGGAGAGGCCAAGGGACTCCTTTCCTAGGGAGTGAAGTCAAGACAGGAGTGCAGGAGGGCAACAGGGGACTTCTAAGAGGAGAGCTCCATCCAGCACACTTGAGGGCTGCCCTCACTCAGAGGCTCCCGTCTGCCTGCCCCAGGCCCCCAAGGTAAGAGTCTAAGGCAGAGGCAGAGGGGCAAGGCTGAGGCAGGCAGACAGGTGTCTCCATGCTGGGGCCTGGATACTCCAAGCATCTCCTGGACTGTCCCCAGCTCACCCCAGACCATTCACTCCCCACCTGAGGCCTCCCTTGGTCTCTTCATGTCCAGAACCTTAGAGTCAGCCAGCACGGCTGGGAAGGGGTTCCAAAGGCTACCTCCTTACAGCCCTGCCACCTGCCCTAGCCCCAAGTGCTGGTGTGGACAGAGCTCTCCTTCTTGGGGACAAAGCTATAGCCTTGCATGCAGGGCCCCCAGGCAGGCACAACATGCATGCACATGGGGCAGGGGCGGGGCAGGGCAGGGCTGAGGAAGATGCAGGAGGCATCCAGGTATGGCTTGGAGGAGTTGCTCAGCTCCCACAGGCTGTGCTGTCAGGTGACAGACGAGGACCTAGAACTGGGGCACAGAGATGACAGCATGGACAAGAGACACCCACAGAACCATAGGGATGAAAGCTCTGGCAGGAAGTTCTCTCAGACAGAGGGAGGTGCAGGAAGATTCTGGACACTGCTGGCTGGGACATAGGCTGTGGACCCAGCTGTTTTCTGGGCAGCACTGGGGCCATGGGAGGGCCCTCAGGTGGGGGGTGCTGGAGGTGCGGCAGGTGCTTACACGCCGTGGCACAGGCAGGTGGGCAGACTTAGGGCTAGGGCCATGTGACCTGGTCACCCACCCAGGAGGGAGCTCTGGAGGTGTCCCTTGGTTTACTCCCTTCCTTGAGGCTCAGCCTTCTGTGACCTCTGGGCCCCTGAGGCTGTCCCCATCCTGCAGTGGCTCTCTGAAGCCCCAGGCATGACAGCAAAATGCCTCTCTTCCACCCCTTCTTTCTTAGGGCCTTCCTCCCACCGTGCAGCCTAGGAAGGCCCTGGAGACTGCAGCCCAGGCCCAGGGAACCTCTGCACTTATTGAGCTGTGTGAGTATTGGGGCCGGGGCACAGAAGCACCAGAGCCCCTGCAGGCCCCAGACCCTGAGGGCTGGATGACTCCAGCCATACTAGGGGCTTAGGAGACAGAGCTGCCTGGGTGTGGCCCTGAGCCCAGAACAAAAACCTCTGTCAAAAAATAATAAAGGTCTGTCTCCTCCTTCCCAGGAAGGGAAGGAGAACGGTGGGGCTCTGGCTCCACCTTCTGTGCCTCTGGGGCTCTCAGAGGAGGCAGCCCAGGCAGGCAACAAGGGGCCTGTGTAGAGACCTCCCAGTGGCCATGTCCCTCTGTCTAGGAAGGAAGCAGAGACGAGGCAAGGGTGAAAAAAAAGAAAGAAACAACAAGGCGGCCAGGCACGGGCAGCAGTGACCGACCGACAGCCGGACAAGGCCTGCAGAAGGAGATGGGGAGCCCAGAGACACCCTGCAGCCAAGCCAAGACCCAGGCGGGCCCAGCCCCGGCGCAGACAGCCTCTTGGGGTGGGCGTGCAGGGTCAGGGTCTACCTTGTATGCAACGCGAGCGGGGCATTTCTTCCCCAGCCCCAGAGGCGGGGACATGTGTTTCAGCATCTCAAACATGTCATTGTAACTGATGCGCCCACTGGAGACCCGTCCCAGAGAGGCCAAGGCACAGTGGGGTGTCCACGGGAGGCAGCAGCGGGAGGGGTGGGGCGGGGTGGGCGGGGAGGAAGCAGACAAGAAAACAGGTCCAGTTAATCCACGTGCCGGGTTAAGTGCCCAGAGTCAAAATAAGTAAAATGAGGGACTTCTCTGCTGGACTGACCCCCTCCTTGCCCCCACCCCCGGAGCCGCACCTCACTCCAGCCCCACGCAGGGCAGTGGCAGGGGTGACATCTGAGCTAATGAACATGGAGGGGTGAGGAAGGGCTGCATCGGGGCGGCTTTGGGTTGTTAATTTCTGATATTACTCTTTTAGAAACCACAGGTAATGCCAAATCAGAAAAGAGCTGTTTCCCCGTGCCAGCAGACGGGTGGGCGAGAGCTATGCGGCAGATGAGGCTGTGGCTGAGAACCACGGCAGAAACATCGGCTTCTTTAACGGTCAGACTTGCTTCCAAGTGAGGCAAGAGGCTAAACAAGTGGATAGAAATCTAAAACAAGCACAAAACTAGAGACGGAGCCCCGAGGCTCTAGAGCCAAACTTGACCATGGGGCAAGTCTTGCCCTAAGCCCAGAGACGCCCGAGGCCGGCCCAGGGCGGGGCTGCTGCTGGGGGGTCAGGGCCGGGCGGGAAATGGGAGACTGCAGGGAGGGGAGGAGCTGCGGCAGGGCGTGGCACCTGCCACTCTTGCACCCGCTCTGGTAGCACAGGGGCAGGTTGGGACCAACTCATGGGACGGGCCTCCAGAGGGGGCTGAGAACCCAAAGCCTCCAGATCCAGGGAGGTGTCTGGGGCCAATGACTGAGTCTTCCTGAAGTGGACAGGCCACTAGGCCTGGGGATGAATTCCACCCCTGGGACACCAGCCTGTGGGCTTGAGGTCCCAAAAACACAGCTGGGTTGAGGTTGTGCAGGATAGGAAGGAGACAGCCTTTTCCTGGCAGGTGAATGTGCCCCGGGACCTTGCCTTCCCCCCACAGTTCCAGGCCAGGGGACTCCCGGCTGAGCTGAGTGGATCAACCCAGAGGCAAAAAAGGAAGGCTCAGCTTTGGGCCCCCTCTGCCTCTGCCCTCTCTTCCCCCAGGGACTGGGAAGCCACTGGGTTATTGGGCTCTTCTGCCATGGAGAGGCAGCTGCCCTGGCTCTCTTCTGCCATGCTCCCTCCTCTGGGGCCCTTAGCCTCTGGCCTATCAGCTCACCCTCAAGAGCTCGGAGTAAAAACTGGGTGAGACAGCTGCTTCCTTGGTGTAGGTGGGATCTGGTCCACACCCCCACCCAGCCTGCTGGTCCTGACCATCACGTCCCAGCCAGAAAGCTTTCTGTGCACTGTCTCATAGGCTGCTTGTCCCCAGCCAGCTGGAGGGGTCAAGGGAGATTAGACAGGGAACCAAAGCATCCAGGAGGCTGGAGTGTGGGGCAGGGCAGGAGGAAAGAGAGGTGAGGTGTCATCATTCCCAAACCAGGCAGGGAGTGTGTGCTATGTCTGCATTTCGGGCAGGGAAGTATGTCAGATGGAGGCTCTGAAGTTGCAAACCTTGTAGGCCAACCTACGAGGGCAGTTCTTCCCTAAGCCAACGGGTGGCGCAATACAACGCAACAAACTGTACATATCCTTATAATGAATCCGGCAACTGGAAAGGAAACGTCACAGGTTATGGCAACAAAGGCACGGTGGAGCCCGTCCCACCTGCCCTCCCAGCCTGCGGTGGGAAGATATGGCCTTGCGTGGTCATGGTGGTGGAGGTGAGGGGAGCAGCCAGACAGGCAGCTCCTGCTGGGGGCCTGGGGTCTGGAGCTCCCCTGGAGGCGTGGCCATCTCCAGATAATTCTAAGTGCCCAATGGACACAGGAGACACTCCATACGGATACCCGTGTGCCCCACAGGTAGAACACACATCTGCGCCTGCCAGCCCCACGTCAAGCCCCCAGCTGCACACACCGTGCCGGGGCCTGGCCACAGCCTGCGCCCCACCTCCACCCCGGTCAGCCTCTCC